TCCCAATTCTTTATTAAACTGATATCTAATACTTACATTGTTATGACTATATAAATACTGAGGACTATGCTCTGACTTTTTATCTTGCCCAAATTCCTATCTAAGGGGTCTAGGGAGTCACGCCCTACAAACCATAAATTCTCATCAGTGGGTTTTATTTAACTCTATATATATCATGACTTACTCTCCAACCTGACTCTGGCAGAACATTAGGAGACAAGAAATAAAATAAAAATATTTTACCCCAAAACATGTTTCTTTGCCATATCTCAAAATGGCCCTAGAAAGCTGTCCTTCCTGAGGGAAAATGTGCATCTGTAAAGAATCTCTGTGGCCACGGTGGCTCACACCTATGATCCCAGCACTGTGGGAGGCGGGGCGGGTGGATCACCTGAGGTCAGGAGTTTGAGACCAGCCTGGCCAACATGGTGAAACCCCATCTCTATTAAAAATACAAAAATTAGATGGCTGTGGTGGAGCATGTCTGTAATCCCAGCTACTTGGGAGACTGAGGTAAGAGGATCACTTGAACCCGGGAGGCGGAGGTTGCAGTGAGCCGAGATCAAGCTGTTGCACTCCAGCCTGGGTGACAACAGCGAAACTGCGTCTCAAAAAAAAAGCACCTTTTAAAGATCTGGATAGGAAACATTTGCCATTTATTGTCTCTAAAGGCAGCCACTGTAAGACTTCAAAAGAACCTTAGTCTCCACAGTCTTATCTTAACCTGAACATTTCCTTTCTATGGATCCCAGGTCTTTAAACAAACTCAGCCAATTGTCAAGCAGAAAATGTTTAAATTTACCTATAGCCTGGATATCCCCACTCCAGCTTTGAGTTGTCCCCGCTTTCTGGACCAAACCAATGTATTTATTGAATGTATTTGATTGATGTCTCATGCCTCCCTAAAATGTATAAAACCAAGCTGCACTCCGACCACCTTGGGCGCATGTTCTCAGGATCTCCTGAGGCCTGTGTCACAGGCTATGGTCACTCATATTTAGCTCAGAATAAATCTCTTCAAATATTGTACAGTTTGACTCTTTTTGTTGACAATACCATTCACTGATGAGCTACGTAATACAGTATGGTTGTATTTCCCTTTCTTGTACATTTGTTTTTTCCAGGAGTTAAAAATTATCGCATTTTTTCATTTGCTTCATTTTCTAGGTACTATTACTAATTTTTCCTAAACTCTCTGAGAGAGCTGAAGAACTCCTTTTAATGTGGGGGAATGCATCAGGTAATCCACTGATCCCACATATGTTTGTTTCCCTGGGCCACGTCTCCCCAACAGATTTTTTTTTTTTGAGACGGAGTCTTGCTCTGTCGCAGGCCGAAGTGCAGTGGCACAATCTTGGCTCACTGCAACCTCTACCTCCCAGGTTCAGGTGATTCTCCTGCCTCAGCCTTCCAAGTAGCTGGGATTACAGGTGCGTGCCACCATGCCTGGCTAATTTTTTTGTTTTTTAGTAGAGACAGGGTTTCACCATGTTGGCCAGGCTGGTCTCGAACTCCTGACTTCGTGATCTGCCAGCCTTGGCCTCCCAAAATGCTGGGATTACAGGCATGAGCCACTGTGCCCGGCCTTCCCCAACAGCTTTCTATCCTGCTGCCCAGCCTTGCCTGGCCCTTGGGCCCATTGCACAACTTCCATACTGGAAATTCACTCAACCATCATCCTGTGAATTCTCTTCTCTCCTGCATTGGCTTCCTTGTTTTCCAAATCCCTTCGGTTTCTTGGGTTCTTAGGCTCATTTTCTAATTTTAATGTTGCATATCCTTTAATTGCTTCATGACGGAAGTAGACATAAGATCCTGAAACTTTTCACGTCTGTAAATGTCTTTGTTTTACCCTCACCATTGATTAAGCTGGATACAGAATTCTGTCTTAGAAATCAATTTCCCTCAGAATTATAAAGGCCTGGCTTCATTTTCATCTAGATTGTTACTGTTGATACATTCAATGCCATGCTGACTTCTCATTCTCTATATGCAATCTTTTATTCTCTCTGGAAGCTTTTAGAATCTTGTCATTTTATGTATTCTGTCATCTTCCTTCTTTTAAGAGACAGATCTCACTACTTTGCCCAAGCTGGTCTTGAACTCCTGGACTCACACAATCCACCTGCCTCAGCCTCCTAAGCAGCTGGGACTACAGGTGTGCACCATCATGCTCTGCCTACACATTCTGTGGATAAGGAAATTAATATAAAATTAGGATCTTTCATGACTATTGGAAGAGCTGAAGGAGCAGAGGTCACTGGATCTGTCACCAAAAATCAGAGAAATCTATGCTAAACATCTCAGTCTGAATCACTGAGGAGAGGTGGTTCTCAAAAGCTTACTGAAATTCTCGGGAATCTCTGAGAAGCTTCCACCAATTATTCTCTCAAGAGTTTGCAGGGAAGCCACCGTGAAGCTCTTGCCTACCTGCGCATTTAGCTGCAACTGATTCACTTCCATCTTCCAAATCTTATACAAGTTTCTCTCATGAGCATACTCTAACCAAAAATCACATAGAAAAGGAAACCATTCTGGAAAATGTAGCTCTCAGCCTTAAAAATGAGTGAGAATTGTGCTGAGTTAACACCAGGTAATCCAGCACAGTCTACTCCTTCATCAGCTCAGCATCCATACACCCTATTTTTAATCTTTAACTTCCAAATAAAGATACTAGCAACATTATGCTTTTACATTATATGATTCAATTATTTTTCATACAACCAACCCTAAAAAAAGAAACCCAGAGTTCCACTTTATCCATCTGTGAATAAATGTTTATCTTCTGATTCACAGTCTTATCTTGCTATCCTATAACCTAAAACTGAACCATAGAGGTAACCATGATTCATACACTGATACTATTAGAGGGTATTGGAATGGGAGAGAAAGCAAAGAAAAATATCAGTTTATATATACAAATGTCCATATCTAAGCAATACAGAAAATATCTCTAATGACTACAGTACTTGTTTCTGGAACTGGTCACATGGCCATAATTGGTATTTATAATTCCCTTCTCCCACCACTCATTTCCTATCACACTCGTCCCCAGCAAGCACTCAGCCAGTCTTTTTTTTTTTTTTTGAGACAGAGCCTTCCTCTGTCATTCAGGATGGAGTGCAGTGGCGTGATCTCGGCTCACTGCAACCTCCGCCTCCTTGGGTTCACGCCATTCTCCTGCCTCAGCCTCCTGAGTAGCTGGGACTAAAGGCGCCCACCACCGCGCCCGGCTGAGTGTTTTGTATTTTTTTAGTAGAGACGGGGTTTCACTGTGTTAGCCAGGACGGTCTCGATCTCCTGACCTCGTGATCTGCCCATCTCGGCCTTCCAAAGTGCTAGGATTACAGGTGTGAGCCATTGTGCCCGGCCCAATCAGTTTTTTAATTTGTTTTTTGGTCTAGTATGATGACCTCAATCTTCATTCTTGAAATTTCTGTGCGACCCTGTTCCGCTTGTTCTGGTTGCTATAGTTTTCTCTAACTTTTACTACAGAGCATGGGAGTGTCAGGAGATTACCAGGAGGATCTCCTGGAGCTCGGGTACTTCTTGCCTCCATTGTGCAGTAGCCAACCAATTTACCCTTGATAATCAAGATCAGTTATCCCATCTAGCACAGAAACCATTTTATTTGTCTGACAAAGTGACCAGATGACAGTCTCAGACTCCTGTTAAATGGACCCACCATTGTGTTCCCCGGTGGAAGTATTCCTGCCCTGGAAACCCAGACCTGCAAACTAGCAGAGTTTAATGTTGTGGGAATAAAAAGCCAAAACTTTGGTAGATCATTAGATGTACAGTGAAAGACACTATTCCTTGATTTTTAAAACTTCGTATCTTTGCTATGGGGGAAACTACATTATAAACTGGCCACTGATAGAGAGTATGTTCTGCATCTCATCGGGTACTAAATCAGCTCCACAAAGTGATTTTGCCAACTGGCACCATAACTGAATTTTCAAAAGCCCATTCTGCCACTCTATCAAGCCAAGCTTCAGGATGATGGCAAACATGGTAAGACCAGCAAATTCCAAATAAAGGCATTAACAACATGATGCTTTCGTGAGCACATTGCTGCACTTCATTTGCTGTGAAATGAGTTCCTTGTCAGAAGCACAGCTAGGAAGAGTGCCGCTACCATGCATTAGGTATTCCGTGAGTCCAGACATGACCATTTTGGAGGAACCATTGTGGACAGGAAGGCAATCCATCTCCAGTGAGAACAAAGCGGTGCTCTTGGCAGGATGGAAATGGTCCACGTTACTTAAACTGTTGATTCCCCCAAATAACAGTGCTACATCATGGGCTCAATGTTGGTCTCTGCTGTTGGCAGGCAGGGCACCCTGCAGGAGCCGTACTCAAATCAGACGTTCACCGAGCCTAAGCTCAGCTCCATCCCTGCCACCTTGGGAATAGTATTCTGGGAAATACAGTTCCCAACCTCAGAAGAAAGGTGGTGTCATCAGGTTGACAAGAGACAATCCAGCACAGGTGTTCTCCTTGCCTCTCAGTGTTCTGAAAGGTCATTCCGGTGAGGTGGGCCTTTCTGCATCACTGCAGTGGGCAGTCGGGAAGCCCCTTCTGCACAAAAGCACGCGTTCTCAAGTTGGTGTCGATTTTTATTATTTTAGTTTCTTCTCCTTTGTTTACTCTGTTCTCTCTGGAATTCTTAATATTATCACGCACCTCTGAATTGATTCTCTAATTTTCTTATCTTTCCCCTTCCCTTCTCTCCTTCTGTCCTCCACACTGTCTTTTTTGTTCTTTCTGGGATATGTGATTGACTTTATCTTCCAAAGTATCTGTTTATTTATTTGAAGATTTTTAAAGCTTTTTATTTTGAAATAATTACAGATTCACAGGAAATATTATTTCAAAATGCAAAGAAATGTACTGGGATGTCTCATGCACCCTTCCCCCAGACTCCCTCGCTGTTAACATCCTGAACAACTATAGTACAATATCACAACTGAAAAATTGAAATTGGTGGTGGTGGCGGCATGGTGGCAAGGGCAGCTGAGGCGGCTGCAGCAGCAGTAGAAGAGGTCAGCTCAGCCGGGCAGTTTGAAGAGCTGCTGCACCTCAAAGCCAAGTCCCTCTTTGTGGCCCACTTCTGGGCACCACAGGTTCCACAATGTGCACAGATGAACGAAGTTATGGCAGAGTTAGCTAAAGAACACCCTCAAGTTTCATTTGTGAAGTTGGAAGCTGAAGGTGTCCTGAAGTATCTGAAAAATATGAAATTAGCTCTGTTCCCACTGTTCCGTTTTTCAATAATTCTCAAAAAATTGACTGATTAGATGGTGCACATGTCCCAGAGTTGACCAAAAAAGTTCAGCGACATGCATCTAGTGGCTCCTTCCCAGCCAGCACTGATGAACATCTCAAAGCAGATCGCAATCTGCGCTTGAAGAAATTGACTCATGCTGCCCGCTGCATGCTGTTTATGAAAGGGACTCCTCAAGACCCACGCTGTGGTTTCAGCGAGCAGATGGTGGAAATTCTTCACAAGCATGTTTAGTTTAGCAGTTCTCATGTCTTCTCAGATGAAGAGGTTTGGCAGGGGCTCAAAGCCTATTCCAATTGGCCTACCTATCCTCAGCTCCACGTTTCTGGAGAGCTCATATAATTAAGGAGCTACAACCATCTGAAGAACTAGATACAATTTGTCCCAAAGCCCCCAAATTAGAGGAAAGGCTCAAAGTGCTGACAAATAAAGCTTCTGTGATGCTCTTTATGAAAGGAAACAAACAGGAAGCAAAATGTGGATTCAGCAAACAAATTCTGGAAATACTAAATAGAACTGGGGTTGAATGTGAAACATTCGATATATTGGAGGATAAAGGAGTTCAGCAAGGATTAAAAGCTTATTCAAATTGGCCAGCATACCCTCAGCTGTATGTGAAAGGGGAGCTGGTGGGAAGATTGGATATCGTGAAGGAGCTGAAAGAAAATGGTGAATTGCTGCCTATACTGAGAGGAGAAAATTAATAAATCTTAAACTTGGTGCCCAGCTATTGCAAGAAATACTTAATTACATTGGGAGCAGTTCATGATTTAGTCCTCAGAAATGGGCTAGGAATAGAAAAATCCTGCTTACTCAGTTACATGTTTTTTGTATTTCACAACGTTGTGCTAAATACAAGTATGTTACATTTTTTTCCCACCAAAAATAGAATGCAATAAACATCCTCAAATTATTAACAATAATTATATAAGAAAAGTGTATCTTTACAGCAATATTAAACATACAGCTACTATAAAAAAATTGAAAATGGTACAATCTACAGAGTTCATTCAGATTTCACAAGTTACACATGCCCGTGTGTGTTTGTGTGTGTGCTTGGCATAACTTTTTGCAATTTTATCACTTGTGTTGTCTTGGATAGCCACCATCAAAATCAAGATACACAACAGTACCATAGCCGTAAGAGTCCTGCATGTTACCACTCAATCAACATATCCATTCCCTCTTCCCTCATTCCTAATCCCTGACAACCACTAATATGTTCTCCATTTCTAAAATTGTGTTGTTTCATAAATGTTACATAGATAAAATCATGCAACATGCATTTTTTTTATGATTAGCCTTTTTTCACTCAGCATAATTTCTTCTAAGCTATGTGTGTGTTAACACTTTATCTGTTTTTACTGTTAGTATTTGCACAGTATAAATGTACTACAATTTGTTTAATCACTCACCCACTGAAGAACATCTGGGTAGTTTCCAGTTTGGAACTATTATAAATAAAACTGCTATGAACATTTGCATATCTATTTATTTATCTTACTTTCTACTATATTATTTATTTCCAAAAGCTCTTTCTTGTTCTCTCATTGTTTACTATAGCACCTTCTTTTTGTTTTATGGGTTTAATATCTTTCCTTATCTTTGCAGATTTTAATTATAATTTTAAAACAAATGTTTTCTTTTTATTCTTTTTTTTTTTTTTTGAGACGGAGTTTTGCTCTGCCGCCCAGGCTGCAGTGCAGTGGCGTGATCTCGGCTCACTGCAAGCTGTGCATCCTGGGTTTATGCCATTCTCCTGCCTCAGCCTCCTGAGTAACTGGGACTACAGGCGCCCACCACCACACCCAGCTGAGCTTTTTGTATTTTTTTAGTAAAGATGGGGTTTTACCATGTTAGCAAGGATGGTCTCGATCTCCTGACGTTGTGATCCACCCATCTCAGCCTCCCAAAGTGCTGGGATTACAGGCGTGAGCCACTGGGCCCAGCCTTTTTTTTTTTTTTTTTTTTTTGAGACAGGATCTCACTCCATTGCCCAGGCTGGAGTGCAGTGGCGTGATTGTGGCTCACTGCAACCTCCGCCTCCTGGGTTCAAGCGATCCTCCCACCTCAGCCTCTCTAGCAGCTGGGACTACAGATGCATGCCACCACACCCAGCTAATTTTTGTATTTTTTAGTAGAGATGGGTTTCACTAGGTTGGCCAGGCTGGTCTCAAACTCCTGACCTCAGGTGATCGCCCACCCTGGCCTCCCAGTGCTGGGATTACAGGCGTAAGCCACCGCACCCGGCCTTTAAAACAAATATTTTCTTCTATTCGTTGCATTGTCTCTGTTCCCTATGGGTTCCTCTGCTTCTGATTTATTAAGAGTCTGTTCTTCATGTGAACACTTTCCTCAAATATCTGATGAATCTTGCTTATGCATTTATGTTTAAGAGTGAGGCGCTATAGAGTTTATTCCTCACCAATGAGGCTAGCTTCACTGGTGAGGAAATTGGGCAGTTTAGTAGTCAGGGTGAATTAGGCTATGTTGTGGTAACAAACAACCCCCAAATCTCAGTGGCTCAGCATAATAAGAAATGTTTGTTTCTCACTAATGTCACAGTCCAATGTGGCCTCCACAGAGGTGGAAGAAAGAGCATGAGTGACTATTTAAAGCCTGAGACAACAGCTCATTCACTACGGAATCTCTGCAGAGCCCCTCCAGGCTTGGAGCCGGGGCAAGGAGGAAGCAAGGCTGGAGACGGCAGCTGTGATGGGGGCAGTCAGGGTTAGCAATTGGGATTATGCCCATGTTTCTGTCAAAAATTGAAGATTCTGGTGAAAGACAGTAGGTCTCTTTGCCACAGCTTCAGGTTTTTCAGACCATGCTTTGTAGGGTTTTTTTTTTGTTGTTTTGTTTTTTTGAGACAGAATCTCGCTCTGTCGGCCAGGCTACGGTGCGGTGGCACGATCTTGGCTTACTGCAACCCCCGCCTCCTGGGTTCAAGCAATTCTCCTGCCTCAGCCTCCCGAGAAGCTGGGATTTACAGGCGTGTGCCACTACGCCTGGCTAATTTTTGTATTTTTAGTAGAGACAGGGTTTCACCATGTTGGCCAGGCTGGTCTCGAACTCCTGACCTCAGGTGATCTGCCTGCCTCAGCCTCCCAAAGTGCTGGGATTACAGGCATGAACCACCATGCCCGGCCCATGCTTTATAGTTTTATGTCAACCAGGGCATCATTTTCAGACGAATGTGAATGTGTTTTGAGTGGCCTGGTTTTGGCTCCCAGTCATCTCCTTATTAACTTATCCTCAAATGTGAACAGATATCCAGGAAATCACCAGGCATTTGAGAAATATTCTCAACATGAAAGAGAGACACTATGGTAAATAAGCAGAAAAAATGATCATGGAGAAAATCTGGCAAATACTGAAAACGTAAAACTCTAACATCATCAAAGAGATTAGTGGAGATCATAAGTAGTGATAAATCACCAAGGTGGTGCTAAACAGAATCAGATACCAAAAAAACAGCTTTTGCAAGTTAAAAAATATATAATTCTAAGGAGGAAATGTGGGAGAAATGTTGTGTAAATATGTCAGAAAGAAAAACGAAAGTACAAAGACATGGAAAATATGTTTAAAAGAGATACAATACTGGGCTGGGTGCAGTGGCTCATGCCTGTAAATCCCAGCACTCTGGGAGGCTGAGGTGGACAGATCACGAGGTCAGGAGATGAAGACCATCCTGGCAAGCACGGTGAAACCCCGCCTCTACTAAAAAATACAAAAAAATTAGCCGGGTGTGGTGGCAGGCACCTGTAGTCCCAGCTACTCGGGTGGCTGAAGCAGGAGAATGGCATGAACCCGGGAGGTGGAACTTGCAGTGAGCCGAGATCACGCCACTACACTCCAGCCTGGGCGACAGAGCAAGACTCAGTTTCAAAAAAAAAGAGATACAATACTCAATCTAGGAAGTAGACTATTTGACTAACAGTGAAAGGAAGATATTTTCAAAGGGGTGATGGAAAATAATTTCCCAGAGCTGAAATACGTCAACCTCCAGACTGAGTGATCCCAAGGAATTCTAGCACAATGAATGGGAAAGAAGTGCAAGCAGACACATCACGGTAAAATTTCAGAACTCAAGGAGGAAGAAAAATCAGACCACCTTCCAGAAACAAACCAATTCACATATAAAGTGGCAAGCATGCAACTTACATCAGGCTACAGCACACCACTGGCTACTAAAAGATACTGAAGAGTCTTTAAATTCTGGGGGGAAATTGTTTTCAATCCAGGCTTTCATATATAGCAAAATTACTAGAGGAGTTTGAGGGTAGAATAGATATTTTTAGACACATGAGGGATCAGAAGATGGACTTGCTCACACACCCTTTCCTAAGAATTTGAGGATGTGCCCCAGAAAAAATATTGGGTGTAGTACAGGAAAGGAAAAAGACACGGGATCCAGGAAATGAATTTTTATCCAGGAAGGCAAGGAAAGAAATGGTCAAATGACTGCTGTGTCTGGAGACTGGTCAGTGGACACTGGAGGTAGGCAGCCAAATAAATGGAGAGTTGAGAGACCTGCCCTACCCTTGAGAAGTAACTTTAGGCAATGATAAGAGAAGAGACTACAAGTCCTGAAAAGGTGATTACAAATTCCAGGAAAACTAAAATATAAACTGGTTATTGACTCTAAACTTTTAGAATCAACATACAAAGCACAAAATATTTTGTTACTGTGATAGAACAGTAAAATTATCACAACAAAAACAAAAACAAAAACAAAAAAAACCAGATGACAGAAGTTGTGATTCAGGATGGAGGACAGCTGAAAGGGAAAGATACAGGAACTAATGTTTTTATTTTATTCTTTAATTTATTTATGAAAACAAATTTTTAGAAACATTAGGGTCTTGTTCTGACACCAGGCAGCAGTGCAATGGCGCAATCACAGCTGACTGCAGCCTCAAACACTGGTACTCAAGTGATCCTCCTGCCTCAGCTTCCTGAGTAGCTGAGACTACAGGCACGTGCCCCAACACCCAGCTAATTTTTAAATTGTTGTGATTATTTTGTAGAGACAGAGTCTCCTTATGTTGCCCAGGTTGGTCTCACACTCCTGGGCTCAGGCAGTTCTCCCGCTTCGTACTCCCAATGTGTTAGTACTACAGGCCTGAGCCAACATGTCCAACCTATTTTTCTTTAAATCCTCACTTTAAAAAGAAGTCAACAGTTGATGAAACCAAGTTGATGAAAAGTAAAGGTATAAGATTACAAAGATTAAAAAATAGAGATGCTAAGAATAATAATATGACTGCATTGAGAGTATGAGGTAAATCCTCATCTCTCAGAGCAGAAAGCCCCAGTAAAAATGATTAATATGGATAAAGCAAAATATCACAGCAAACACACGTCATCATTGGAAGCTACGGAAATAACTATGAGAGGACATAACCCAAAAATATTTAAAGTATTTATGTCTGTGGAGCTGTGAATACTGGCAGGGAAGACTGGGGCCTTTCTGTACTGATAGGTATTTCTTAAACCCTTGATTATATGTTAATTTTATTAAAGGAATACATAAATTTGAAATTAAAAACAAGGATATGATGAGCATCCACCTGAGTTGCCCATGTCTGAGAAAAAGCACTGCTGAAGATGTCATGCACTGTATCAGGAAATCAGTGTTTCCTATGCAAATCATCAAATGCCAAATCCCTCCTATTGAGTCTTGTATTAGTCTGTTCTTACGCTGCTGTAAAAAGCTGCCCAACACTGGGTAAT